CGAGCAGCAACTAATCGACAAGCTCAGAAAGCAGAATGATCTCGCAGATACGGTTTCGCTCGAGGTCATTCGACTGATGAAAAATGTGAATAGACCATCAAATCCAATGAGTGCGCTGATCGAAACTGATTCTGGGATGTTTGACACTCTGATGAAACAGCAGAAAGTTAACGTTGGATGGGATCGCTGTAAGGTTGTGGAGGCAGTTGATGTTCTCCGGTGTTTCAAGTGCTCCGAATACTGACACAAAGCTTGTTCATGTCCAAATCCGTCCTGCTGCCCAAGATGTGCGGAATGTCACCAAGCCAATGAATGCATCTCGGATTACGAAAAATGTGTTAACTGCGATAAACTTAATAAGCGTCAACGACTGCCAGCTGATGATGCGTTGGAAATCTCCCACGCGTCTTGGAGTTCAGACTGCCCCATCTACCAGAAAAGGTTGAAGAATGCGAAGCAGCGAATTGATTACTCCAGCTAGCAATCATCAGCGAATGGTGCATACATTACCCCACCTGAGCTTCCTGTTTCTCCAGGTGAGCTTACGAATGGTATATGTCCCGCCGAAGTCCGGCAGGATACTGCACCAAATTTGAATGAGCCTTCTTGGTTACAGTGCAATGAAGATATCAACCTTTGCCGCACATCTCTTAACGACAACGCAATCATCACCTCGGCAGATGACGTCAACCACTCAGGAGCGGCCTTCCCTGTTCTTCCAGGTAAGGCAAACAGTGGTATATGTCTCGCCGAAGCCGGGCTAGATGCTATCACGAAATTGAATATTGTTCCCACGTTCCAGCCCGCTGTCGACTCAGTACAAACCTCTGCTAACACAACGCCCTCTGATGACATTGAAGATATCAACATCACTGTAATCACCGCGCCTTTCGGCACTGGGGATTTTTGTGCATATCACTCGGTTGCACTTCCTGTTTCACCAGGTAAGCTAAACAGTGGTATATGTCCCGCCGAAGCCGGAAAGGATACTGCACAATCTCTGAATAGTAACCACCTATTTCAGCCTGTCCGAGAAGAGTCCACCATCTCTTTGCTTCAGCCTACTACTACCACCTGCGACGTCGAAACCCATGAAACTGGTCGCCCACGCTGTGTAAGCTTCTACTACTCAGAACCAAAATAGAAGGCTTCTTTCTCGCTGTCTCGGAGATGGAGTACGACATCGTTGTTCTCACAGAAACCTGGTTAAACAACGAGATCTCATCGCCTCAAATCTTTGGGCCACAGTATCAAGTGTACCGTAAGGATGGCGATCCCATACAATCTGGTAAGACAAGAGGTGGTGGGGTACTAGTAGCTGTGCATACTCGACTGAGCTCCAGCATTTATTCTGTCGCAGTGGATGCAGATATAGAACAAATTTGGGTAGTTATAGATGCAGGAGCTAGACATATTTACGTAGGGTCCGCTTACATTCCTCCTGATCTGGCAGGCAACGTGAACATTATTAGTAAGTTCGTTGAATCAGCTGATAGAGTTCTAAACTCGGCTCAAGAGCTGGATTTGCAAATGGTATTTGGAGATTTTAATCAACCTTCACTTGTATGGTACCCAACCCCGGATAGATTTGCCCTTACGGATCCCCACGAATCTTCGTTTCCACAATCCAGTATTCGGAATGACAGTATTTTGTTTAAAGCAGTTGATTTCGATCAAAAATGTAGGAAACAAAACCTTAGACCTTTTGTTCGTTAACGCAGACACCAGACCATTATGTGACGTCTTTGAGCCCCCTGAACCACTAACAAGCGTGGATCAATTACATCCGCCATTCCAAGTTCTACTGCAGTGTTCTCCACCCACCAGGTTTGAAGAACTAAACGACGACAGAGAGTTCAACTTCAGTAAAACTGACTTTGCCGCTCTGAATCTGGCTCTCTCTTCCATCGACTGGTCCCGACTGTATGAGTCTGTTGACGTTAATGAAGCAGTTGATGTGTTCATCATCACCTTGCACCAGTTGTTCCGTGAACATGTCCCTCCACCACGTTCTCGCCCATCACCGCTATGGTCAAATAGCCATCTCCGACAACTCAAACGTGAGAGAGCAGCAGCACTGAGGAAATACTCAAGGGACAAGAACCCCTTCTCCAAGAGAAATTTCTGTGTTGCTAGTAACAGATACAAAAAGTATAATCGTTTTTTGTATGCTAGACATGTTCGTCAGCTTTAATCAGATCTCAAAGAAAACCCGAAAAGATTCTGGACGTTTGTTAACAACAAAAGAAAGGAAAATGGCCTTCCAACGAACATGTTCCTGGGAGACGAATCCTCTGACTCTATTGATGGTATATGTAACCTGTTCGCTGAAAACTTTGCAAACGTATTTGACGAACTTATGGTGGACGAAGATCAAATAAGAATTGCTCTTTCAGATGTTCCAGCGAATGCTCTCAACTTCCGCGTAGGTGACATCGCAGATACGGATGTGCTCACAGCTCTGAGGAAAATGAAGCCTTCGCATGTCAGCTCGACCAGATGGAATTCCTGCTACAGTTCTGAAAAAAATGTGCTGAGAATGTCTGTGGGCCCTTGAGATTTATCTGCAATAAATCACTTTCAGACTCTGTATTTCCCGATAAATGGAAGGATTCGATAATGTTCCCGACGTTCAAAAAAGGAGACAAAAGAGATATCGCAAATTACCGTGGAGTAACATCATTGTGTGCTGGGTCGAAGCTGTTGGAGGTACTGGTGTACAACATGCTAATTCGTGCTGCTAAGATGTACATATCCCCGGATCAACATGGTTTTTTTTTCCAGGGAGATCCACTGCCACTAACTTGATTCAGTTCACATCTAGCTGCCTTTTAAGTATGCACGGTGGTCATCAAATGGATTCCATTTATACGGACTTAAAAGCCGCATTCGATCGTGTCAATCACCGAATCCTGCTCGCAAAACTCGAACGCTTAGGAGTTGAAACTCGGTTTGTCAAATGGATGGAATCTTACCTTGCGAACCGTCATCTTTGCGTGAAACTTGGCACTTTTGAGTCGCACACTTTCAGCAACAGCTCAGGAGTTCCACAAGGAAGCAATCTTGGACCACTGTTATTTTCCCTGTTTTTCAACAATGTCTGCTCTCTCCTACCAGACGGGTGTAAAATCTTGTATGCAGATGATCTAAAATTGTACTTGATAATACGATCTATAGAAGACTGCCAGAAGCTTCAACAGTATATTGATCTCTTCGAAGCCTGGTGTGACAGGAATCATCTCGTTATAAGTGTGAAAAAATGTGCCGTGATATCTTTCACCCGCAAGAAATCTCCAATCTGCTGGCCATACACGATTCGCGGAGAAGCATTGGAAAGAGTCACAAGCATCAGGGATCTTGGAGTGGAGCTTGATAGCAAAATGACGTTTCGGGATCATTACTCCAACATCATCGCTAGGGCTAACAGAAATCTGGGATTCATCTTCCGCATTTCGAAAGAGTTTCGCGACCCGTACTGCTTACGATCACTGTACTACTCCCTTGTACGTTCCGGGCTAGAATCTGCTTCTGTCGTCGGAGTCCTCACCACGAGGTCTGGATAAAAAGGATAGAAGCAGTTCAATCACGATTCGTAAAATACGCGCTCCGGTTCCTGCCTTGGAATAACCCAAACGATTTACCACCGTACGAGAGTCGCTGTCGCCTGCTAGGAATGACAACTCTGGAAAGCAGGCGAAGCCAACAGAAACCAGTTTTTGTTGCGAAGCTGCTGTTAGGAGAAATTGACGCTCCTGACATACTCTCTCGAATAAACCTTGGTATTACACCCAGACAACTCCGTCAACGGCAGATCTTGAGGCTTAATTTTCAGAGGACCGATTATGCTCAGAATGAACCTATTAGGGCAATGTGTGTTGAATTCAACCAAGTTTTTTATCTATTTGATTTCAATGTTAGTATTAATGTTTTCATTCAACGACTTCGATCAATGCTATAGTGTTAAGGGTGCCTAGTGTATGTTAATTCATGTAGACCGTCGTATGTCCGATGAATAATAATAATAATAATAATAATAATAATATGGTTCTTTGTGCATATTTTGCTAAATCTGGTCAATCTCGCAGTAGCAACTACTGAAATATATGGTCGTCAATACTCATGCTCATGCTCAACAATTATCTAAACTAAGGCTGTATTAAAATCGTTGTAAAGCATCAAATTGTTTAGTTGAAGATGCTAATTTCAAATAACAGACTGTAGTGGTAATTTTTATACGATAGATGGAGTAGGTGAAAGCATAGAGTTGATAGTTCCGTTAGAGTACGGCAGTGTGAAGATTGTATATAGATATTAGACAAGCGAGCTAGGACAACTTTTAAGGAAGGTACAAATCGGTTTTTTCATCTTTCTTTACCAAACTCCCCCTTTGGAGAGGGATGGTGAGGGGTGTCCCCCCCCGCCACCACTGGCAAAAAGAGATGAAAACCGACCCGCTCATGTACCAACTGTGTGTTTGAAACAGTTCTACCGATTTTTTACCGCACTTCAGTTGTTATTTGAAGGAAGGCATCCAGTCGTAGGTTTGGAAATTGCAACTATTGTTTACCCCTACCACGATATGTGCTCCTGTCATCAAATTGTTACCTGGGTTGAATGTTGATATATTTTTACATTTTTTTGCCCAATATACCTCCCTTTAAAAACAAATTGTTTGAAACTGAACTACCGCTAATATTTGATCATTTGCACCCGGAACACGACTGGCCATATTACGATTATAAACATAAGGCCAAAAGATTATCATTGGCTCCACCGAGCAGTGGTCATCGGCGCACTCATCTACCCTCGGTGCAATGTGTGAAAAGACCATTCACCCGCCAAACGCCCCCCTTTCATCCGTCCAGAAGAGAAGAGCAAGAGCAATTTGCATTCATCGAAAGGGACATGCAGACAGACAACATCGACGACAACGGCGACGCCCTGAATGCTCTCAGGCGGAAAAGCGTCCGACCGGGAAATGTGCAGAAAAGAGCACTCACCTTTAATGCAAATTTTATTTCGTTTGATAATCAATTTCGTATCGTTTTGCTTCGGTGGACCCTCGACGTGTAGTTGGATTCCGACCGGCACCTCCCTCGACACGTTGCCGGTGCAACGCAAATGGACCTTGAACGTCTCGACCGTCCTCGGGATGGCTCCGCTGCTGGGAATGTTCAGCTCCGGGTGCTGCAGGGCTCCCTGGTTGTCGTCCAAGTGCACCGATATCGTATAAGCAAGCTGCAAAGAGACGGAGAGCAAGAAAAATCGCAACATGAAGTGATTTTGAGGTTTTGGTCTTGCCTTTCTACGGCTTAAACTGCAAATGGAAGAATGTGTATGGCAAACAGTATTAATTGAACCCCCATCAGAAATACACCGGACATTTCAGAGTGTCATGTTTTTTTTTTTTCATCGATCGATCGAGAACACTAATGAAAGCATGTGCCCCTTGAAAGCAATCGAGTTTGCCATCTGTTGGAAAATGTCCTAGCAAGATCAAACATTTCCTCTACCTTAGAGGAGCAGAACGAAGAAATTGAAATACTTTCTAATTGAATTACCAGCACAGCAGAGGGAAAACGAAAGGTTTACATCGATCCACCCACTGCACCCTTCGGGAAAATAATAGACTTCTTCGAATCAAATCATCTGAAAATAAGTTTCCACTTCCTCACTCCACTAGAGCTCCGTTACCGTTTGCCATTTTTCATACTTCATTTGAGAAAAGGTACAGCCTCCATTTTCCGACCTGGAAGGAATTGAATTTGAAATCTCTGCAAAATTAATTAACAACTTAACTCCCATCGGCACGCCACCGAGAGGAAGATTATTCCATACACAAACACAAGCTCCCATCCGTGGTGAATGGTAACGATGATTGGAAGTCGGGGAAATAGTTCTTCCTGCAGTGGAGGTGGAAAGGAAAACTATTAAGACGATCTGCCCTCACCCCTGGCTTCGTTCTCCAGTCAGTGCCAGTGGTGGTGCTGTTTTCTGCTCTTTCCTTATTTCTGACGTCGACGACGGACGGTTTAATTCAATTAGGCAAGACTTTCGGGGCCAATTTAGGGGCTAGCGCGTTGCTAATGGCAGGGTATATAGCCCTGGATGGATGTATTAAATGGTGCGTTCAAATATTCATGAGATTATGGAAAAAGGTGGATTTCTGGCCAAAGGGAACTGGTTCTGGTTCGCAAATCGGTTGGACATGATGTTAGAGTTTACACAGAACATTTATGGGAAGCTAATATACATAACCTACATTTCCACTGATTTGTTTTCAGCAGGGAGAAAAAGTTGAGTTCTATCGAGAAAAAAATAAATAGCGAGACCAGAAGAATATGAACATTTCAAGAAAGTCTTGGAAAGTTATACCTACTTTCTTTGCTTCACTCGTTTAGGTTGCGTATGGGGAAAACGTAAAGAATGTATTGCAGTCATCAATATACAAAAAATAACTTTTCACGATTCACGCGTTATGACCGCATATTTCAAGATTCACTTCCACTGAAAAAGCTACCTTAGCCCTCATTTTCTGACAGACAATGCCATTTTAAGTTCTCTAAATACTTGCATGAAATGTATTTTAAACAGATATTATGGAAAATATTATTTCTAAATTCAGTTTTATGTAGAGGAAATGGATGTAATGTCGGCCTAAATGCCCCTAATTTAGGCCCATACATAAATTCAGCAATCGACTAAATTTTCAATAGCGACCAAAAATATCCATAAGTACCGTCCCAATGACGCGTTCATCTTGATAAAATGGAGAAATAGCAGATTTTTAACGATGGGCCCAATCTTAGATCCATAGGACAACATGAGAGCCAATTCCCCAACCACTGGTAATTTAACAGATCAATGAAAATGTTACTATCAAGTTTTGAGCCACAATCGTTCTACCCCAGTGGTTAATTTACCCCGGATCACAGTAGTTATTTTGTGTGTGTGACGAAATGTACACACTTAGAAATTATCGCCGAATTCGATAATTTTAACCGAAATCTGAACCGAAATCGGTAAAATTTATGGCATTCAATTCAATTGCTTTTCAGCTACTTTAAAACTAAATCCCCACAAAAATGACAAGAACATGTTTTAAATTCTTTTCAAATTCAATAGCCTTTAACATGAAGGTCAAAGTTTTACCGAACGTTCAGCTGTTCTGATTTCGTTAAAATTTACCGAACACGAAAACAAAATCTTAGTGTGTAGATACCATATTTTTATATGATTTTTTTTTTCTTTTCTTTTTTCCTTCATTTGTTTTTTGTCGATCTTGTTTTCCGTACTGAGTGCCAGTGCTACCGACGCCAGGGAGGCAGCTTCTACACCTGGACCCTACCTATCACCCAATCAACTCATGGACCGGGGACCAACGGCTTTACTTCCCTTCTGAAGGAAGGCGTTAACAGAAATTTGATCCCTCAGAAAATCCCAGTGGTGCCGACTGGGATCGAACCCAGGCTCTTTGGGGTGAGAGGCAATCACGCTTACCACTAAATCACCGGCGCCGCTGATTTTCTTCTGATTGTTTTACTATGGGAAAACTTATGTTTTTGTTCATATCTATCAAACAATTCACCACATCACTATGCTTTAATAAATGATAGCAGTGATTGCAGCAAATTTTCCCAGCTTCAACTTTGTTAAAAACCACTTTTCAATCAAATATAAGGAACAAAAGTTATTAATGATTCAAGTCATCAATGTCTTATGATTATGCTCATTCAACTGTTCAACAGGCAACATTGGTGTTTCTGACGCGAAGAATAGAGCAAAAATATCATGGCTACTATGTCACACTGCAGAATACAGTGTTGCTTACAGAATAGCTGCTTGATCATGCCATAAGATTATCAATTTCTTAAACAATTAATAACAATTTAATTTGTCATTTGGCTGAAAAACGATATTCGGCAATGTTGTAGCTTAGAAAATTTTCCGTAGTTATAGAAATTTTCGTAAAAGCAATATGGAAAATGGGTAGAAGACAATGAACAAAAAGTTTGGTTTTCCCATAGTAATTTCCATATAAACTTCGAATAGCCAAGTCATTTTCTTACCAAATGAGTTTAAATTTTGGAAGGCTAATCAGGACCTGATTTGAAATCGTTTGAGCACTGTGTAGCGAAAATTTCAAATTTTGCATCAGTCTAATGCATATGCTGCTTTCCCAACACAGTCATCAGAGAATCATTCCTAGAACCAAACATGTCGATGTAGCATTACGACGAGGCTCGGTAGCTCAGTGGTTACCGTTTCTGCTTACTGAGCAGAAGGTCAGTGTTCAATCCCAGGCCCGTCCCCGTCCTTGCAATTTTTCACTTTGCCTTATCCTATGCCCACTAGATTTAAATTAAAACAAATTTTGCTTTAACCGATCGCATCACTTACCACATGAATCCTGATCTAAAAATAACCTAGCTCACTAACACAACTATCCTTCCCGAGACAGCCGTGAAGATGTTGAGGAATTCTCTATCTCTGGTAACAACAGCACTGCGCAAGTTGATTAGTTCTGATCATTCACGGAGGAGCAACTAAGAAGGTCGGATAACGTTAACTCGACGGCAAACATTCATTGATACCATTGTTGTTGTGGGTGATAGAAGAGAATAGCAAAAATAGTGCGAAATAGGTTAGTGAAGCCATGGTGATCACAAAAGAGGAAATCGATAAAGAATTGGCTTTCACCCTTCTGCTTCTAAGCCCCTTACAGTCGTCATAACAGTAATGAAAACTAGCATCGCACCGCTCAGGAGCATCTGAAATTCGTGCTTACTGGTTGAGCTTGGTTGTAAACACCCCATGAGTAAGGAAAACGTAGACAATTTGACTGCAGTCGTCGTTTGACTGCCGAGTGCTAAAAAGAAGAGGTTTTTGTTGAGTTATACACTGAAAACGAAAATAAATCAGTGAGTGAGTAGTTTTTATTGAGCTGTGAGTCAATTTTACTCATTCGAATGGAGATATTTCTTAAAGCGTTGGTCACTCACAGCATGAGTAATACACGCTTTTAGACATTTCTCCATATGGGTGAATAAAAGTGACTCACTGTCTGAGTGAGATTCGTTTTTAGTGTAACTTTCCATCCAGGGTAGAAACAAAAGTGATTCAGATGCATAACCCAACTAACATTTTCAGCTTTATCAGCCAAATTTTCCAGCATTGTGCTGTAAAGTAGCTGAAAAAAGCTGCAGATGCAGCTACAAGCAAAGGCTAGTAAAATAGTTTTGGAGAGCATTTACTCAACTTTTTCACAACCATTATTCAATTTGTCAGTCGCACTGAATAAAAGCAGCAACGCTAATGTCACTTCTATGCAAATATTAATCAACTTTCAACATGTAGCTGCAAAACAAAGCTTATAAAGTGAATATATTACTCATTTGATGGCTGTTACACAACCAACCACTCTTGCTGAATAACATAAACATCAAAAGTAACTTTTCTGCAACTAAACAACTTGTACTCAGCTAACAAACTGTGTAAGCGCTACATTGGAAGCATTTTGAAAGTCATCTAGGTTTATTTTTAGACTTGTGCAGTTTTACATCTCTTACTCCGCTCATTTACAAAGCTGAACTTACTAGTCGATGGGAGTGATTCATGTGTACTATGGTGGTGCCGGTGTTGTAGTGGTAACCGTGTTTACCTCTCATCCCAACAGGCTTGGGTTCAATCCCAGTAGGCGCCACTGGGATTTTCTGAAGGGAAGTAAAGCCGTTGGTCCACGGTTCATGAGTTGATGGGTCGATAGGTAGGGTCCAGGTGTAGGAGCTGCCTCCCTGGCGTCGGTAGCATTGGTGCTCAGTACGGAAAACAAGATCGACGGAAAACAAAGCAAGGAAAAAAATGTGTACTATTATAAAGCCTCTACTCAGCGATCTTGTTGTAGAACGTCATGTAGATTTGTTTACGTCAGTTCAAAGTGTCGGCGTAGCGAAGTTCGTAGTGTCAAGGTTTGCAAATACGAAGTTTGAGTCAGGTTCCGGTGCAGGGTAATAATTTGGTGGTGTGCTTATATTATAGCTAATTTCGAGTAATTTGATTCGCAGATAAATAAAATCAATAAATGCCATCAGTACAAAAAGTAAACTTTATTCAACCCGGCTTCAGGATCAAGCGGTGTAGTGATTAAATATTGGATAATCAGGAAAAGGTTGAATAAGCGCTTTTCAACTAAATAGCAGAATAACTGATGTAAAGAAGCGTAAGTATATACGCAATAA